GTTCCGCTTGTGCGGCTTCCTTCCTTCTAGTTCAATGTCGCATCTGTGACTACAGTGTCGCACCTGCGACCAGTGGTTCGCAGGTCTGACCACACCACAACTCAGCCAACCAGCCTTAACAAAAAATGATCCAAACGATCTAAACCTCGACTGAAACTCATCTAAGCCACTCCGGACCTTGTCCGAATATACCAACAAGTCCCAAAACCCAAAACGGACCTACTCGAGGTCTCAAATCACATCAAACAATATCGAAATTACGAATTGCACCTCGAATCGAACTTATGAATTTTCAAATCTTCCAACTTCTATAATTTACGCCGAAACATATCAAATCAATCCGGAACGACTTCAAATTTTGCACACTCATAAATGACATAATGGACCTGTTCCAATTTCCGAAATCGAAATCCAAACCCAATATCCACAAAGTCAACTCTCCGTCAAACCTCTAAATCTTTCAAAACTTCAACTTTTCAATTTTCACCAAAATGAGTCGAATTATCCTACGGATTTCCAAATCTAAATCCGGACGTATGCCTAAGTCCAAAATCACCATATGAAGCTATTGGAATCCTCAAAACACCATTCCGAAGTCGTCTACACAAAAGTCAAACTCCGGTCAACTCCTTTAACTTAAGCTTCTAAAATAAGAATTCGTTCTTCCAAATTTATCCTGAATCACCCAAAAACCAAACTCGATCACACACGAAAGTCATAATACATACTGCGAAACTACTCGAGGTCTTAAACCGTTGAGCGTGTCGCTAATTCTCAAAATGACAAGTCGGGTCATTATATTCTCCCCCTCTTAAACAAATATTCGTCCTCAAACGTGCGAAGAACCATTTTGAGGACATCAAATTACTGAGTGTATTCATCATACATATACTTGCAGGTGATCCCACGTTACCGCAATCGACATAAGTACGACAACTCCATCTCAATTGATGATTATTTCTCTAGTCCGCACTTATAAACCTTAAAACTAAATTTCTTACACTCCAATCATTTTCAAAATGCCCGATTCTCACATCAACACAGGGTATCAGCCTCATCCGGCTGTAGCAACTCGGGCCTACACTCATCATAAATAACCACACGATGTAACACATTATACATAGGTCCATAATAATAACTCTGGTCATCATGGCTATCCATAATCGATTACAGCACCACCAATGAACCTCATATAAGTTAAAACCTCATTTCAAACCTTCACAACACTGGAAACAACGCAAGGAACATGAAGACCTCATAACTATTCAACCGAATCATCAGTTCATATTTAACGCCACCCGGGCACACACCTCGTAAGCTAAAACCCAATAAATAGTATGTGATTATGGCTAAATATGCAAAGAGAAACACATAAGAAAACTATCAAATAAGCCCAGCAGGCATAACTCCTTATTAGTACTATAATACAAACTAATTTTACAAGGGAATCAAAACACATGAATTTACCACAAGGATCTTATCCTGATATAACTTCCACCGCGGCACGTAGCCCTGTTTTAACATATTAAACCCATGGAACGCGAGGATCCCATCCTCCATTCTGAATCACAAGTAATATACACATCATGCCAACCGAAACCTTCATTTTTCTTCTTTTAAATAAATTTCGTTAAGCAAAATCACAACACATAATGAACCTCTATATCGGTAGGGCATCTAATTCACAAATTGTAACCAAACTATCCCGAAATTACATCAAAACTCATTATACTAAGTAATAGAAAGCTATTTTTAACCTTATAGCTCTCAATATTGAACAAAACAAAAATGATAGACACTGGCTAACACCATAGAATCTCCCAATAGGGATAAACACATAAGCGGAGTACAAAATCACGAAGCTCCCCATATATGAAGCATGATAGAAGGTCTCACCTCAATAAGCGAAACCGAATCAAAATAGGGATAATGTTCCTCTATAACTAATCAAAATCATACCTGTAATGACACCATCGGTGTAACGGCCTCAGTCAAACCATTGCAAATTCATCAACGGGCCAGGCCTCCACCTCTAGGCACCATCTACCCGCCTGTCCTCCACCCCTAACTCGCTGTGCAGGTGGAGTAGTAACTAGAATAGAGCCTGTAGCTTGAGTGCTCTGATGAAATCCGCCTCTACCTTGAATCCTTGCGATCAACAAATTAACTCTGCCCGAGTTCGATATCTCCAATACCTGACTCTGCACAAAAATATGCAGAAGTGTAGTATGAGTACACCACGGTCTGTACCCAATAAATATCAACACTAACTTCGATGGAGTAGTGACGAGGTACAGTCAAGACACACACTAGTCAAATATCCTATACATTATAAAAATATACAATTAATAATAGAAAACAGAAAGTAGTAGATGGCAACAAGAATCAACCAGTGATATAAACAATAAAACAATAAGAACACCGTAAAGTATCGTTCAAACCAAATAAGGAACACAAAGATAGCCAATTAATCAAGTCTTTCTAACACGAGTTTTCACAATAAAGTCACTCTGTGGTACCTCATCTCATATTTACAAATCACATGCCTCAACCCACCATCATATACTCACGGCACCTTGTGCCCACATCTTAAATCACATGCTGCACGGACAACTTACGTGCCAATAATATCAATATGTGGATCCGCACAGACAACTCACGTACTGTACGGATAACTCACATGATGCACGGATAACTCATGTGCCAATAATATCAATATGTGTATCCATACAGACAACTCACGTGCTGCACGAATAACTCACGTGCTAATAATATTAATATGTGTATCCATACGGACAACTCACGTGCCAATAATAACAATATGTGGATCCACACGGACAATACGTGCCAATAATGTCAATTTATAAATCCGCACGGACAACTCACATGCTAAACAGACAAATCACGTGCTAATAATATCAATATGTGGATCTGCATGGACAGCTCGCGTGCCAATAATATAATCCGTCCGGCATAGTCACAGGCTCACAATTTCAAATTGAAACGGATAATACCAGAGTACATGGACATAATTAATAAATGTCAAGTTTTGTACTCATGAGCTAGTATAAGTTATGTTACAGTGTATGTATGTTCAAGTGTACTACTGCAGCCTAAATCAACAAGAAATGTTAAGTACATCAAATAGCTCATCAAAACAACAAGGCAAGTTACTCAAATATATAACAAACACAATGAACATGCATTTCATAAAAATAATTCCAATACCACAACCACACCAAGCCTTCGGATCAACCACACTAATTACAACAACAATAAAAATGACAACAATAGGAATGAGACGATTAAAAAAATACACCAAGAATAGCTACACCGAACTAAGGCAATTAATGCATCATAGAAGAAAACAAGGGATATTATAACACGGAAAAAAACAACCAAACACAAGTGCACCAATAGAGAAATATCAACAAGAGTCACTTCCAATCGCCTCGTAGTCTCAAATCATAAATAAATTCACAATCTTTCCTTATATCAACGTGGGAGCCTTCATATTTAGTTTTAAAAAATATTTTTTCCGAAATAGCATCTCACATTTTAGCGCACCTTATCACACTACATGGCTTCTAGTAGTTCCCCTACTAGCCACACGTATCAAGCTCACTTTATCTCACCACATCCATTTCAACATCCAGACCTTATACCACCGCATGCGTATCAATATCACAACGTATCACAAGTCGCACCTCAAGTGCCCAATATCATAATTTGCCAGAGAAACCAAATAATAGATTTTCACAATAAGGAGCCAACGGCTCAGCCACAATGTACTCAAAGTCCCAATAATAATAACATGAATGGAGAAGTAACTCAGCAAGGAACAACATCTCTTTTAAACATAACTTCAAGTAAAATAAGTCAATGCCTCTTGATAACTTAAATTCCTATTTAAATATTTAAGATAAAATCAATAATGAAAGTGTCTCCACGAAATGGCAAGGTAACAATAAAAGAATTCACGAAATGGTTAAAGGTAATAATTCCAAATAAGCATATAAGACATTTCGGCAAGTAAAGAATATGACATAAAACAACAATTTCCAACAAGGCATGTAATGGTGAACATGGAGAATAAAGATATAACAATGTGCCAATAATTTCCAATTAAATACATAAAGATGCCTTAGATTTTAAACCTATAGAATTTTCTACATATAAGTCCGAGTACGTATTCATCACCTCGCGTACACGGCTTTCACATTATACAATTTTTACATTCAATGCCTAAGGGGTAATTCCCCTACACAAGGTTAGGGAAGATACTTACCTTAACGAAGATAGGCCGATACTCTAAAATTGCTTTCTCGCGTGACACGACCTCCGGACGACTCAAATCTAGCCAAAATAATTTCATAACATCATTAAAATTTATCAAAAATAAATTTCGGATAATAAAACGTCTATTTTAAATTATACATTAAAAAGTCAACCCGAAAAGTCAACGCGGGGCCCGCACCTCGAAACCTGATAAAATTTTACGAAATCCGAACACCCATTCCAATACGAGTCCAACCATACCAAAATTATCAAATTTCGATAACGAATCATCCTCCAATTCTCCATTTTACATTTTTGAAAGATTTCACAATTTTTCTCTATTTCTTCCATTAAATTCACAATAAATGATGAATATAACCATGTAATTATGAAATATAATTATTTTCAGATATAGAACACTTATCCCAATCAAGCGAGTGAAGAACCCCTCCAAATTTGCTCAAAATCGAGGATTTTGAACAGTATTTTTGTTCAAATTTATTCTTACTTAAAAAAATGGTTAAATTCCGATTAATTTTAAAATTGTGGCTATTTTTTCAATTACTACTTGTAAATATGATTTTTTAATTTCACCCCAAAATAAGCTTTCCAAATTGGTTCACAATTTTAAATGGGCTAGGGTTAATTCCAAATTAATCCCTAAGATCTTTATATAAATAGTTAATCCAATTATTTGTTTGCTTAAATAGCTGGACGGAATAAATATCTAACCTTTACAAGTCATCCACGGAATCACAAGAAACGAGGAGACTAAAGTCGCCAAAAGTCTATTCCCGTCGGCAAGTTTCTTCTTTCTCTTCAACATGGCGCCGATTTCTCAGAAAGGTGATGGTTTAACTTCTTTAAAATAATACAGTATTTTGTTTGTCATATGATTTTCTTTCTTGTTCTTCTTCTATATGTTGGATTGTAACGTTGTCCTTTATGTTCAAAACGGGCAGAAGTTAGCGTTGGAAATAGAGATGCATCAACAGCTCGTTACTTGTTGAAGTTTGAATCTTTTTCTGTACTCTCAACGAATGGTATAAACAAATATGAATCAAGTGTGTTCGAGTCCTGCGGCTACAAATGGTACTGCTTATCATTAGCTTCTCAAATTTGTTAAAATCATATTTTATATTTATTTTTGAGGTTTTGGTGTGAATAATCTTCACTGGGTACCTTGACATATGGTGTCAATGTACTGAATATGGGTATGGTGTTTCTTGAGCACAATGACATGCAGAGGTAGATTTTACGGAATATACGTATGGGTTTAATCTTTAAGATATTTAAATTGAACTTATTACACTTTTGATCGATGCATAGTTGAGGAGACCAATCACGAACACTACATGTTTGGGAGCGACACTGGTCAGGGAAGGCTAAGACGTGCCTCTCATATGGGTAACAAGAGGGCTCTTATGCCCTGACAGTGGGGCCTTATGGGGAATGGCCTAGCCCAATAGGGACAGCACATCCCCACTTCAAACGAACCTTTGTATCGACTGAATCACTCTTTTGGTCTAGTCGGTGGAACCGGTGAACCACCACACGCGAGATATCAAAGTTAACTAGTTACTAAATATAAAAAGGTGGTTAATGATACGAAAAATAAAAAATAGGAAGTCGCTAATCTTTTTAGGAAGGACATAAAGGAGGAAATAGTGCTTACCAAATTGGCGCGGAGAGGTATCTCAGTAATGTCCTTATGGGGAAGGGCCTAGCCCAATAGGGACAGCACATCCCCACTTCAAGCGCACCTTTGTATCGAATGAATCACTCTTTTGGTCTAGTCGGTGGAACCGGTGAACCACCACATGCGAGATATCAAAGTTAACTAGTTACTAAATATAAAAAGGTGGTTAATGATACGAAAAATAAAAAATAGGAAGTCGCTAATCTTTTTAGGAAGGACATAAAGGAGGAAATAGTGCTTACCAAATTGGCGCGGAGAGGTATCTCAGTAATGTCCTTATGGGGAAGGGCCTAGCCCAATAGGGACAGCACATCCCCACTTCAAGCGCACCTTTGTATCGAATGAATCACTCTTTTGGTCTAGTCGGTGGAACCGGTGAACCACCACATGCGAGATATCAAAGTTAACTAGTTACTAAATATAAAAAGGTGGTTAATGATACGAAAAATAAAAAATAGGAAGTCGCTAATCTTTTTAGGAAGGACATAAAGGAGGAAATAGTGCTTACCAAATTGGCGCGGAGAGGTATCTCAGTAATGTTTTATTCTAAATGAATAAAAAGTACAAATAATTTGAAAAGACTGATAATCCCGCACATTCTGTTGTAGTTATGAATTTAACTATTCACTACATTTTGGACAGGAAAATGATCATCTATCTAATTGATGGAGATGGAAGTGAAGATACTTTTACACAAGTGCTTAAGTTCCCTCCAAAGAATACTAAAGTTGTTTTGTCTAACATAGCGTATTCAAAATTCTTTGAATTAAAGTATAAATTGGCTGATGCATAATTGTATACACACACGTATATAGTTGTCCTTGAATCCATGTTTACCAAGAGTTTAGGTTACACGACAAGAATATAGATGTTGTTTTCCAAAGAAAACATCTAACCGTATATAGTTGTCCTTGAATCCTTGAAATGCTAGTAACATTCTTATATTTTAAGGACCTTTATGAGGTTTCCCAGGCTACAACTTGTTCTGCATCCTCCTATCTTAGCTTCTTATTCTAATTTAATTAGCTTTCTGGGGAAAATAAGCTGGAGGCATTGCCCTTCAGAAGAACTTAAGAACTAGTACAGTTACAACATCTACTCCTATTGTTTGACATAGTTTCATTGGACATAGGGTTTAAGAACAAAGAATTATACTTTATAACACGTACGATAAATATGGATAACATATCAAAAGTACTGTTGTACCAAATAATTTTGTTTGTATTCATTGAGGCCTAAAACGATTATGTCAATGGTGAAATGGGAATATCGAAGCTAACTGGTTACTAAATAAAAAGAGGTGCTTAATGATACAAGAAAAATTATAAGGAAGTCGCTAATCTTCTTAGAACGGACAAAAAGGAGCATAGTGCCTAACAAATTGGCGTGGAGTGGGTATCTCAGTTATATTTTTCTCTAAATGAATTAGAAATACATAAGTATAAAAAGACTGATTTTTTTCATTGCATTTTGGACAGGAAACTGATCATATATCCTGATGGAGATGTAGAAGATGGATATGATCATATTTCTGTATACTTGGCCATTGCCGAGACAAGCTCTTTACAGGCTGGTTGGGAGGTGAATGCCACATTTAGCTTCTTGATATTTGATCAAATTCATGACAAGTATATTGTAATGAGAGGTATAGTTTTCCATTCTCTGGAAATTTTCTTCTTTGAAGTTTTTTGAAGTTCTCAAAACATGAAAGTAAAATAAATAAATACTTAATTTCAACTTTTCCAAAAATAAAATATAAAAGTAAATCGATCATTTCAGTTTTAAATGAGAAATTCTTAGTGCATCTGTTTTTTGTGGTTGTTGTTGTTAAGACCGAGCACCTAGGCTTTCACTTCCTGTGGTGCTGGGGTTTTTGGCGTTGACCCTTACCTTATTTATTAAGATAGGGAGAAATTACAACAAGGAGGGGACATAAACCTTACCTCTGGAGTCCTAGCATAACTAAGGACACGGAAGCACCTACTAAACAAAATACAATGAAGATGGTCTTCTTATGCATGTAGGTATGGACTAACTTAGAGAGCACCATTTGAAATAGAATGGGTGGAAAGAGGCACTTAATTTTGATAGCTTTGTAGAGGCTAGAACCGGCCCCCTAAAAGCAAATCTTAATGTATCTTAAAAGGACTTTCTAAGACAGTACTTTATTGCAGGAATGGCTCAACGATTTCACAATATCAAGACTGAATGGGGTTTCTCGAAATGTATATCTCATGAAACATTCAAAGAGCCCTCTAACGGCTACCTTGTTAATGACAAATGTGTATTTGGAGTAGATGTATCTGTTATCAAGAACCAAGGATTAGGTGAATGTGTGTCCTTGTTGAATGAGACCAAGTCTTATAAGCACGAATGGAAGATTTCTGGATTCTCAAAATTAAAGGATAAGTTGTATTCTGAAGAATTTCTTGTAGGTGTTTACAAGTGGTATGTTATTCTTGTCTTCTTATACGTAACACGTATATTATATTTTCACATTTCCATTTTCTGTTTCTCTTTGTAATGCAAATTAAATTTCTTAATTATGTTGGATGTAGGAAGCTTTTGTTTTATACTACAGGTAATGCTGATCAAAGGAACAATAGCATATCAATTTACCTTGTATCAGTTGATGCTGGAAGTTTTGATCGCCAAAAGAGGGTGAAGGCAAAATTTAGCATTTCTGTTAAAGACCAGATTAGTGGTGCACGTAATAAGCGCGGTGGTACATTCTTTTGTTCCTTAATTAATTTGTTCAACTTTTGTTAATTCCTGTATTGGTAGGTAATATCTTTTATAGAAGGAGCGTTATTTACCTTATGAGTTCATCTTGGAGGAACTTCCACAAGTTCCTTATTTTGTTCAGGAAATGAAAAATAAAACGTGTACGCACAATTAATGAAGTATTTATTTTCAGGGTTGAGTTTGATTGAATGATTTTAATCACTATACTCAAACTTTTGTAAGGATTCAGGCTCATCTAGTAATAGCTAACAACTTTTCTACTTGTACTGGTTTAGTTTTCGTCGATTATTTAGGTAACTGGTTTATGAATGATCAGAAGCTCTTCTCTTTTTCTCTTTTGAGTAGTTTGACGTTTTTTTGCAGATTCATCACATTGGTTTTTGGCTGCTGAAGTCGACTGGGGTTGGGCAGCATTCATGCCGCTACATGAATTCAAGAATCCTAAAAAAGGCTACCTTGTTGAGGACTGCTGCATTGTGGAAGCAGATGTTTCTATAATTGGTGCTGTCAATAGTTTAACCTAATCCTTGATTTATGATCCAAAAATGCTCCTATCTTGTGAAACATCTGTTGGATTCCTTGGGATGCATGCAATTAATTTCTTTCTTGGATTATTCAACTCATTGGTGCCGTTCTTTAAATTTCCACAGCAAGTTGATATTAACTTGTTAAGCTGCATAAATGGTCAAATCTTGTACTATAAGAAGAGGGTTGTCTATTCGAGGGTCTATCAGAAACAACCTTTAGGTAGGGGTAAGGTTTGCGTACACATTACCCTCCCTAAACCCACGTGTGGGATTTCACCGAGTTTGTTGTTTTCTTAAGAAAGGGTTGTCTATTCGAGGGTCTATCGGAAATAACCTTCCCATCTTCATAAAGTAGGGGTAAGGTCTGCGTACACATTACTTTTTCTAGACTCCACGTGTGAGATTTCATTGGATTTGGTGAAAGGATGGCAGGAACTTGGCCTAAGCATCTGATATACATGCAGTTTGGCTATTCTCTGCGTAAAAACTTTTGACCCTTTAAGCCAACGACCTTAAAGTAATAGGTGGGGGTAAATCTGTATCATTATAAACTCCTTTGAAATTTTTTACACAATCAACATGTGATATACTCTCCAACTTTATGTGTCATTTCATTGTCTATAATATATGTTCTGAGTTTGATTTATGACACCTTTGTTACCTGTCTCACTCAAAGTTTTTCCTTTTAGATTTTAAAGCATTTTAACCAAATTGATACTAATAGATAATTTTCAACTATAATATCGTCAGTAGAATTTTTCCAATATTTTTATCATACTATGAAGATCAAAAGTACTTGCAAGAATTGGATGATGAAGATTTGCCTCTTGTATTAGTGATAATTAGTATTAGAACCCATGCGACGTGCGGTCAATATCAAAAGTAACTAATTGTAGTATATTTGTCACGATCCAATTCCCACTATAGGTTGTGATGACGCCTAACGTCGCCGCTAGGCAAGCCAACGGTGAACAATCCATTTAATTGTTCATTTTAATATTTTTAAAGTTGTTGATTTTATTTAATAACGAAATAATTAGTAGGTGATTGTAGTAATGTAAAGCATAAACTAAACATGAGAGTAAAGTAATGAATTTAATAATTAAAAAACCATGAGTATCTACTAGAATTTCTCAAAATCCGGTGTCACAGGTACACGAGCATCTAGTTGAATATACAAAACTCTCTACAACTACTGTCTAAAACAAAATAGACAAGAAATAATAAATACGACAAGACGATGCTCCGCGTGCTGCAGAACATAGCATGGAAAGCAACTCAACACTAGGCCTCCGGATAATGCGGATGCATGCTTGGACGAACACTAGATGCGCCTGCCTCAGAGCCTGCGCAATTTGTGCAGAAGTATAGTGAGAGTACGTGAACAACGTGTACCTAGTAAGTATCTAGTCTAATCTCGAAGAAGTAGTGACGAGGGGTCGACATCGACACTTACTAGTGGTCAATATACATAATGTGCAAGAATTATAAATAGGCATGAAATACAACAGTAATACTGGAATAAGAGTCAATAAATAAGTGATGCTTTAACCAAATAACAAATTAAAAGTCCCCAAATATCACATGTTAATCTCAACAAGTAAGGGCCAACAAGTAATTACAACTTCTAGACTCATGAATAATATATCGAGAATAATCGGACTCCTAGAGACAACACGCACGAGTTATGCCGAGGTCGTACGGACCGATCCATAACAATCGTGTACATACACTATCGAGGTCGTATGACCCGATCCATGATGTATCACATTATATATAAATATTGCCGAGGCGTTCGGCCCGATCCATAGGAAAAGGGAAACTCTCCGAACTACGAATTAAGTGTTTGCAACTCCAAGGTAAGTCCATGGAAGAATATAAATTTCCATAAATAATTAAACATTCTGCCAAATCTCTAAGTAATGAAGCTCGGTCTAACATAATCTTTAACCAAATTTTACTTATTAATACAAGTAATTAAACTAGCAAGTTGAGTTCAAATAGTGTAAGTATTGCTTAATAAAGTCCTATGTCTATCCGTACATAACATGAATTGTAGTTCCGTACGGACTCTTGTCACTTCATGTGTAGGTAACACCCATAATTAGTAGCAAATAACAATTTAAACACCTAGGGGGTTAATTCCCTCTTACAAGGTTAGGCAAGAGACTTATTAATTCCTTCTTACAATGTTAGGAAAGAGACTTACCTCGTTCTCAAGTCCACTTTCCGGTCCACAAATCACACTAAAAGCCTCAAGTCGGTGCCGAGCAATCCGAAATTAGACAAAGATTGTGCAAACTAATCAATATTTGCTCAAAAGTTCATAATTTAACTATTAGAGTAATTATCCCACCCAATTTGGAAGGTTCCTAAAATTCACCCCCGGGCCCAAATTTTTGCAAATAATTGTTGCCCATAACCTCACGAGCACAAATATATAAAATCAATTCCATAACCATTTTCGTAGCCTAATCCCATTTTTATCAAAACCTATGTTTTTCAACAAAATACTAAAATTTCCATAATTTACATGTTAAAATCTACTCATAATCTATGTATTAAACTCACATTGGGTAGGAATTACTTACCTTATGATGTTAGATGAAAACCCCCCTTCCAAGAGCTCCAAAATCGGCCAAGGGAAATGAAAATGAGAGAAAATAGCCTAAGTCCCATTTTTAATAAAGACACTGCCCGGATTTTCCTCCTTCGCGATCGCTGAGGCAAAATTGTTCAGGCCCCTAAAAATCTTCTTCACGATCGCGAGAAGACACACACAAACGTGATGCACTGAGCCACCATCTCATCGTGAACGTGAGCCTCCCTTCGTGAACGCGAAGGGCAACAGACTTGCCCAACCCAGACTCAGGCCTTCTATGCGAACGCGAGGAGGCCATCGCGAAAGCGAGGGCCACTGGTCCCAAGCCTTCGCGAACGCGAAGAACAAAATACTCAGTCCCCAAATCCTTCATCACGAACGCGAGAGTCCTTCTGCATTCGCGAAGAAGGAAACCAAAATAGCATATAACAGAATTTTAAACTCAGCTTTGGGTGGTCCGAATCTCACCCGAGCCACTCCGGACCCCATCCAACTGTACCAGCAAGTCCATAAACATAATACGGACCTGCTCGAATCCTCGGAACACGTAAAATAACATTGAAACTAAGAATTGCACCCTAAAACCAAATTGATCAACTTATGAACTTTAAACTTTTCAACTAGCTACGTCGAATCATACCTAGACAACTCGGAATGACACCAAATTTTGCGTACAAGTCATAAATCACCATACGGATCTATTATCAGGCTCGAAATCCCAAATGGACCTCGATAACACCAAAGTCTAATCCAAACCAAATTTAAAGCACTAGAAAACCTTAAATGTGCCAACTTTCAACATTAAGCGCCGAAACGCTCCAAGATCACCCGAAACCCGATTCGAGTACACGCCCAAGTCCAAAATCATCATACAAACCTATTGAAACCGTCAAATCCCGATTCTGAGGTCGCTTACTAAAAATGTTGACTCAAGTCAAACTTGGCCATCTTAGGCTACTATTAAGGAACTAAGTATTTCGATTTTAACCCGAACCCTTCCAAACCTAAACCAACCATCCCCGAAAGTCATAAAATAGTAAAAGCACATATGGAGAGTCTTACTTTGGAGAACAGGGATCTAGAAAGCAAAATGACAGGTCGGGTCGTTACATTCTCCACCTTTAAAATAAACGTTCGTCGTTGAACGAGTCTAGAATCATACATGGAGTGCTGATTAAGTGTGGATATCTGCTCTGCATGTCCTCCTCGGTCTCCCAAGTCGCTTCCTCAACTGGTTGACCCCTCCACTGGACCTTTACCACAGAAATCTTCTTAGACCTCAACTGGCGAACCTGTCTGTCAACAATGGCAACTGGATTCTCTTCATAACCAAACTCTCATCTTGCTAAACCGTGCTGTAATCTAATACATGCGACCTGTAGGCATGGTTCCTTCGGAGCATAGACACATGGAAGACCAGATGAACACCCGATAAACTGGGAGGCAAAGCAAGCTCATAAGCAACCTCCCCAACTCGCCTCAACACCTCAAATGGGCCAATAAACCTCGGACTCAGCTTACCCTTCTTTCCGAACCTCATGATACCCTTCATCGGCGAGACTTTCAAGAGAACCTTCTTGCCTACCATAAATGATAAATCATGCGCCTTCTGATCCGCGTAACACTTATGTTTGGACTGTGTTGTGCGAAGTCAAACCTGAATCAACTTTACCTTCTCCAAGGATATTTCGGTACCCTAAAGAGTAACTACGAGCTATTCCGATCATTCGTGATTTGAAGCATGAAATAGAGGTGCACAATAATGCAGTTGTCACGACTCGAAATTCCCACCTTCGGACCGTGATGGCGCCTAACATTTCACTTGCTAGGCAAGCCAACGTTAGAATAATATTATTCATTTTTAAAACAATTTTTAAATTTATTAATAACAGAGAACAATTGCGGAAGTAACGTCTGAAATATAGTGAATAATCCATAAAAATAACGGTGTCTAAATACCATCCCAGAATTGGTGTCACAAGTGCACGAGCTTCTAGAATTATACAAATAAAGGTCTGAAATAAAATAAAGTTATCTGAAAATAAACACACAGCTAAAGTAAAATAGACGGGGACTTCAAAACTGTGAACGCCGTGCAGTTATACCTCAAGTCTCCTCTGAGTAGCTGAAATTCGAGCAAGTCTATGGTACGTCGCTGGGACCAACTCCAAAATCTGCACAAGAAGTGCAGAGTGTAGTATCGGTACAACCGACCCCATGTACTGATAAGTGCTGAGCCTAACCTCGACGAAGTAGTGACGAGGCTAAGGCGGGTCATTTACATTACCTGTACGCAATATTAGTAACAAAAACAATAATAGAAATAAATCAGGTAATTCATTTACAAATATTTGAAGCCAACTCAGCATTCATAACCAATTGTCATTTCCATCAATTCTATTGCAGCGTGCAACCTGCTCTCACAATATATTCACATTCAATTCTGTTGCAGCGTGCAACTCACTCTCACAATATATTCATTTTTAATCA